AACAAGCATTTGTTTTTTTAAAGCACCCTCACAGAATGAACAAGTTTTTACTACAACTACAAACAAGGATAAATCCACACCCTTGTTTGTAGCATGAATGAATTGTTTGTGTAGTAAAAAAAATACCATGCCTTTTCATTCTTAAATTATTCATTTCACAAATTTTGCAAGAACAAAACTTATTGTAAAACTAATGATGAAAAGAACACCATTGTCACATTTAGCATCAGCTGATCACAATGCACATCAGTGAAGCCATCAAGAAGTGGGTCTAAATTATTTTGTACTTTTCACCCTGCTTCCATAGCAAGTATTGTAACATCTGCATATATGTTCCATCACATTTTCTAACACGAGCTCAAATATAAAATTTTAAATCACTCATCTACTTCACACAAAAATATGAAAAATTCTTCCAAATATATTTTTTCCTTTCTCAAATATGTTAATTGTCAGATCCTTTTCGGGGGGGGGAGGCAAATAATTTAGAGTGTATACTGTATTTACTCAAGTACCACGTGCCCTCAAGTAAGGCGCACACAGGAGTTTTTCAGTTGAAAATTTTGCAAAAATCTTATCCCCAAGTAAGACGTGCACCCCAATTTTCAATGAATCTAAAACCATAAAATTTTGAAAATAAAAACAAAATTTTGACTTTAGGTGTGAATTGAACAAAAATCTGATCAATTTTCAACTTTTTTGATACAAAAATGTTTTCTTGTTATATTTGTTCCAAATTTCTCCATTATAATTAAGTATAATGAACACATAACTTCCTAAAACTTCTTGAAAATTTTGTACCTGCTTATGACGTGCACCCATTTTTTTTCTTCTGAAATTTGGGAAAAAAGCTGCACCTGGTACACCAGTAAATAGGTATATATATAGGCAGCCTCATGAGAGCAAAAACGAGCGGCTATTTCGAATCATCATTAAGAAAAAGGAATATACTGTATATGACACACAGGAAATATCCATCTGAGCTTCATCCAGGAAATCACCAAGACACCCCAACACCAACCAGCAAAAAAGACCAGAAATAGAGTCAAATGATAACTGAATCATGCCCTAACCTCACGGAAGGAGGGCGGAATCGGAACTGGGCAACATCTGGTCGGCGCCACGCGGACAAACGCGTGGGAATGGGCAGCAGTGTTGCCAAATGCGGGTCATTCCAGGAACGGTAGCTATTCACAGTTTCCACTTGCGCACGCCCCGAAAAACATTTATAACAGTGCGGCTCCGAGATGCGGGACGTAATTGGTGCATCAACCTTGTTCCCATGTTGGAATGTCTGCATATTATTGGACGTTGTTTTCCTGCATAGACTTCAATGGCCATATTTTTAATTGGTTCTCCTGTAGATCAAAAAATTATTTTTTCATTTCCCAAAATTGAAAAAAAAATCATTTTCATCAACTTAAAGGTACAGAAAATGAATTTGCAGAATAAAAGCACGCAGAATCTGATCTTTTGACATCAGAATAAGCACAAGAAGAAAAGAACAAGAACTAGTTTTGCTATACACTGAGTGAACTGGGATCAAATAAATTTTAAAAAGAACCACAAATTTAGAGCTTCTTTCTGATTATGAATTTGGGTAATTTCAAGTTAATCTTTATTTTTAGCATTTGTAAATGTAAATAACTCAATTACTTCAATAAATATGAAAATTTAGGAGAGATATAAAAAAATTTACAGAATTTTTGGGAAAATGTACATAAGTGGAGTTATTGTCCAAATGTTGGGTCAGATTTTTAAAAGCTTCAATTAAGTTTCCCCAAATAGAATTGTCCATATGTTGGGGTGTCTGCATTTTGGGGCCTCACTGTATTACAGTGGGGTCCTGAGATGATATGTGGACTTAAATGTGGTACTAATTGCACCATACCTGCATGTCCCTATATGTAAAGAAACAGAATTTTGCTTGCATTCCAGTCCAAATTTTACCGATTTTCTTACTCATACACATTGCTATATTTTCAATTACGAAGATGTGGTGCCACTCAGACTTGGGAAGTTATTGGAAATGCGTATTTATCAAAATTTAGACTGAAAATTGAACATTCTCAATTCAATAAGGAAGTTATTTGGATTTTATACATGAGTGAATATTGCAATTGCAAAAAAAATGAGAGGGGAACTCTACCTAAACAGACTTGAGGAGAATGTATGTTATACTGTATAGCACAAATGAGTGAACAATTTTCCATGATTCATGTGTGGTTTTGGTCAAAACAAAAGGCTTAGTTATTTTTTCAAATTAGAGTCCATATATGTGAAGAAAACAACATTCAGTCATGAAAAAACTCACCTCTCTAGAATATATAGACCAACACTATATACTGCTTCATAAATGTCAGCAGAATGTCAACTACAGTATTACAATAAATTCTTGGCTTTAGCATCACAAAAACATCAGCAGTAATATTTTCCAAAAATTGTGGTGAAAGATACACTTTTAAAACTACAAGGGGAACCCCAGCAGCATGAAAATACTGTATCTTTAAATATAAACATTAAGAAGTGTTTATGCACAATTCAGGGCAAAAAAAATCCAGATCACAATACTGTAAACCCAGATGAGTTATTGATAATTGGCTAAAACTTCAATATATAGGCAGAAATTATTCATCAACACTGTGTATAATTACCGTATATAGAGAATTGGTCCGATTTTCAAGAAACAAAGACCGGTTTCTTATTATTCCCGCCATGTCAAGAAAAACTTCCCAAAATTGGGCGATTTCTGGGTCATCAGGCTGAGGTGAAACTTCAGTCCTGATATCCTGAAGTTCAAATGCGTGATATGTTTTATTCACGACCCAAATTCCTTCAAAATTCTCTGAGTCCCGCATCGTTTCCGTTATAAGCACTAATTGGGGTATGATAATAGGCAGAAGTGACTCTCAATGTATTTCCGGCTAATTATATAGTCGGAAGTACATTACAGCAAAAGGAACATCCAAAAATGAAGAATTTGTAGGCCTGGCACCTGATCTGATTTTTTTCAAGAGATCGAATTCCTGTTGTACTGATGTATTTACAACAACACTAATTTCTGTTTATATACATTCCAAGAAGCTCACCGCCTTTGAAAATTCCCAGCAGCAGGATTCAGGGTAAAAATTTAAAGGGAATACAGTACTGTAATTATTTCCCAGCATAAAAAGCACTGCCACAATTTAATTAGCCAGACTCAAAGACAAAAGCACCAGGCACCCTCACCCAGCTAATGATGAATTTTTGGGAGTTATCATTCATGAAAAAAATGAATAATGGAAGAAGTACAGTGAGACCCCAAGATGAGGACACAATTGGAGCATCAAGAGTGTCCCTGAGTCAAAGCATCCCTAATAAGTCAAGCCTCATTTTCCCTGACACTTACATTATATAATTTTTAATTGGTGTTTTATGGACAAAATACTCACCATAATTCCATGACAACAAAAATGTTATCCCCATTCAAACTGATTCAGGCAATATATTTCAACACAATATGGACATTTTGTAATTGATTACTGATAATTCTGCATGTACAGTACATATAAATGTTCACATTTTCTGTAAAAATAGCATTCAAGTGAAAAGGAGAGAAGGAAGTCCCTTATGCTGGAGGTAATTTTTTAATTAGCTAGATGGATGGTAAATTGGTGAGAAAAATGCCCAAGAAATTTTCTTACACAAATTTTAGGGTTGGAAATATCTGTTTCTTGTTATTTGGGCAGAAACTCATTTGCAATTTTTTCACAAAATGTCCCAATGTTGAGACAGTGTCCTTGTGTCTGGCCTTTTTTTTATTAATTTTCTATGGGAAAATAAGAGTCCCTATGTTTAATTTTCCACATGTCTGCATGTTGGGGCCACACTGTATAACAGTTATTGATAAATTTGCATACTGTACATCCTTCACTCAAGTATGCCAGCTGTATATGCTAAACACATTTTAATTTTTCAAAGTTGAGAGGGGAAAAAAGCATATGCATCATGCATGTCATATAGGCAGTCTAAAAGCTGTAGTCGGTCTAAGAGCTAGAATATCCAGCTACTGTAAATGGAAATTCAAAAACAGTTCAGATGACCTCCAAAGAGTATCTGAATGAAACCCGCCGGCAAAATATACAAGTTTATTCAAAGTCTGACGAATCATTCATACAAATCATCGGTAATTAAATTTCACTGTCCTTTTTCGGCAATGCTTCAATACGCGGTGCACACAAAAAAATTGGCAACTCTTCTCGTTGAGCTCTTTTTTGCATAATATTTCCTTACACAGGGGGGGGTGCTGACAGTCCCAAGAATGAGAAATCCCTTCGAAATTCGGAAAAGTACTCAGGTAAAAAATATCTGCATTGCATAAATTCTGCAAAGTTTATTTCGAAATTTTTAGATGGAAATCTTTTCCAGATATTTTCCCTATAATGAAAGTATACTTCACTGATGAACATGTCAACACTCTCAATTAAGAATCTTGGCATGTAAGAATCACAGGAAAGACCAAGAAAGTAATGCGGGTGAAAATGAGGTGATCATTGCAAAATTCCCGGGCTCGCCAATATTGTTCCGATTATTGATTCAAATTGCCAGTTCTGTTCCTCAAATCATTTCCCATGCTACAGTATATCCTCTCCTGTTTTTGTTTCTCATGGAATACATTGACAATGTAACAATGAACGAATACATTTCGGAAATGACGTTTAGGGTTTCATCTGCAAATGAAGTGAGAAGTTGTTGGTGATTGCAAAAGACTTTGAGTAACTCTTCGATTGTAATCCGAAATCTATGAAACAACTTCCAGGAATCATTTTTGCAGTATAGACGACGCAAGCACTATCGTAAAAAAGGCAGATGACCTATTGATAAAATCTCACAGAAGGTATAGATGACGCACTAAATTGACAAACATTTTTATGATTAACAAATTCGGAAGTTTCCCGTTGGCTTCGTTCCAGGATAAATTATAAAACCAGCGCAACGAAATGAAATTAAATTTTCCGAAAAAGAAAAAAAAAAACCGCAGAAGAAATATTTTTATTCTCCTTTCATTTCCGAGAATTAGTTACGACGACAGCTTCTTCTGAATAGCAGTAACAAACAAACAAAAGCCGGGTTTCCAGTCCTCAGAACCCCGATCCGTCGGGTTCCACAGACTCTCGTGCAATTTATGAAACCTCCAAGCCGCTAGTCGACACCGATCACATCCCGGAACAGTTCGATCCCGAAGTTCCGAATTCCTTTCCTTGGGTAACGGGATTGAAGAGCCCTTGTGGACGACCCAGTCCGGAGGCGGAGTGAAAATCGAACCCAGTTTCTGCTTCATTTGCCCAGTGTCCGATCGATGCAGGTTGATGGCAGCTGTCCACAGGATTTTCGTGTTCAACACAGTCCGCTCCGTGCCTTGTTGACTATCCCAGTATTCAGGACCTAAATAACATAGGAAATACGGTATAAATAAATCCTGCTGTGTTTTGAATCCACATATACCTCTATCTCAACTTCTCTAATAAATTCTTAATGAGTGTAAATTGAGACCCCGAGATGAGGACATTATTGGTGCATCAAGAGTGTCCACAAGTCAAAATATCCCCAAGTCAAGTCTCATTTTCCCTTACAATTACATTATATACTTTTTAATTGGTGTTTTATGTACAAAATACTCACCATAATTCCATGAAAATCAAAATTGTCTCCCAATTTAAACTGATTCCAATCAATATATTTCAACATAATATGGACATTTGGGGAATTGAATACTGATATCTCTGTAAAGTACATAGAAATGTTGGCATTCTCTGTAAATATTATATTCAATTTAAAAAGAGAGAAGGAAGTCCCTCTCTGCTGGAGGTAATTTTTTTAATTAGCTAAATGGATGGTAAATTGGTGAGAGAAATGTCCAAGAACTTTTCTTACATACATTTTAGGGTTGGAAATATCTGTTTCTTGTTNAACTTTTCTTACATACATTTTAGGGTTGGAAATATCTGTTTCTTGTAATTTGGCCTGAAATGTATTTGCAATTTTATAACAAAATGTCCCATGTTGAGTCAGTGTCCCCATGTCGGGCCATTTTTATTAATTTTTTATGATAAAATAAGTGTCCCTATGTAGAATTGTCCGCAGGTCGAGGTGTCCGCATGTGGGGGTCTCACTGTATTTCGTCCACGAATTTCTTCAAGTTCCAGAGAAAAAGCGCCATTGCGTATTTCAACCACAGGAGAACCTCGATAACTCGAACCTCTCTAAAGTCGAATTTTTCTCAATAAGTCTGTCTGAATTCGCTTGGAATGAATAATACTGTAAATTGAAAACCCTCATAATTCGAATAAGTCCTCCCCTCAAAAAGCCATGACTCGAAAATTTCTGGAGACCCTTGGGATATTATTTTATTGACAAAGAAAAGAGAGAAGCAATAAAAACGTAGCCTCCGATGCGTTTTGAAAAGAAGTGAAAGGAAGACTATATTCGGGCAAGTAAACCCTTGTCTCCGAATTCAGCATAACCGATCAACTCTTCCAATGAATATTTTCAAGGTCATTTTGAAGAGGTTCGACAATCAAAGCTTTTGGGAATGATCTTCCAAATTCGCAGAAAATCGTGGACTAGAAAATGTCAAGACTCCGCAACTAATAGAACTGGTTTAAGGGTTCTTATCATCATTCACAGCGAGGATTTTCTAAACAGAATTTCGAATTGCTGGTGACTTTCATCGAGATAATCACCAACATAAAATACTGTAATGTCACACCAAAAATTGAAAAGCGATAATACAGCAAAAGATTACGGTGAGTCTCTTCTGAATTCTTTGGAAAATTTGCAAATGACAGACCACCCAAAAAGCCACTGAAAAATCAAGAGACGCGCGTTTTCCTGCCGGAAATCCTCTTGATTCACAGTATTTTTTTTATGTCGTGTCCTTCCGGGCAGAATGGGATGATTTTTTGAACGAACTACTGTACAACCAATTTATCGAATCCGTGATATTTCCAGCGTGTTTTCATTGCGGACAACTCTTGGAGAACTAATGAATTACGTTGCAGTATTCGCTTTGACACTCACAATTTAAAATTTATTCCGAGAGATACTGTACTTTCGACGCAATACATGGGACACATTATCCTTAAATTTGGTGAGTTCTTGTTCACAAAATGTGTTCAATGGCTTTCAATAATGTTCGATAATGCCAATCCAGCAGGAATTCATTTGACTAAAAAAAATAGCCTTCATACCTTTGACCTTGCAATGAGTCAATCCTGATCGCTCCGCAAACATGGCACAAAGGATATTTTCCACGAGTCTGTTACTGTTTCCGTACTTCATAATCTGAACAGTAGGAAGTGCGAGAAACGGATCGCAGTCGTCCACGGCATTCTGCACAACTGAAACTGCGCACTTTCGGAGATACCGACGAAAGGGTTCCGCAAACTCTTCGCTGATCATCACGTGGAACATCGCTAGGGACAACTGCGAAAAATATACAGTCGAATCTCTTCAAGTCGAATTTCAAAGGACTAGCAAAAATATTCAAGCACCGGAAACGAACATAAAAAGAAGAATTACAGGAAATTGTAATTGGCGATATTCTAGGCCTTAAATTGCTTTTTACATGAGTTGACAGGATGCAGAACTTCGAAGGCAACGGTTAAATTGCTTAATAGTCTTCCACTTCCTTTCGAAACGCAACAGGCTAAATTTTTATTGCTTTTCTCTTTCATGCGCCTATAAAATAATAGCTAAAAGATCTCAGGAAATTCTATTTCAGGAGGTATGAGAGGAAAAGCCTTAAAGTTAGAAGTTTTTACAGCATCGTTCGTGAGGGAATTCAGACCCGGACTTGAAGGAATTCGACATAAGGAGGTTCAAATTATCACGGTTCAACTGTACAATTTAATCTTTCAAAATTCTCAGCAACATTAGTGACTGAAAAACTGTGAAAATGGTAGGATCAAACATTTCGCAATCAGCGATAAACAGGGAAAGTGGCCTGAAAAACTTCCATCTCCTATATAAATTCATCAGTTTGAAATCAAAAATTTGGAATTTTTTCATGAAATCACTCACACAATGCAGGTCATCCAGAAAACTAATGGCCTTATCCAAAACTTCGCAAGCTTCAGCTTGTGCCTCCACAGTCCATTCGTCCGTGGATCGCAAAAACTTGATGGCTTCGTGAAGAGCCTGGTCATGACTATAACTACCTCCAGTGGTTTCATATCCTGGTACTCTTTGCTTCCGGGAAATGCTGCGATCGACTTGCGTTAGGATGACTTCCGTCACTTTCAACGAATACCGGATGTTCAGAGAAGCAGTGCCCGTACTGTAGTTTGACAACCGGTGAGTTCTCCTCAGTCTGTTCCTTTCATCCATCCACAACATCGAAAGACAGGCTTTTCCCAAAGAGAGGATCTATACAACGGGAACGACCAAGTTGTTTTGCATTACGAGAGAGAAGAGGAATTTCTAACGTCACGTTCTGCACGCAAATTACGCAAAAAAGGCGAATCTCGTATTTTTTGGTGTTTCGAAATTAAAGCGAAGTCGGAATTCAAGAGAGGATCACTCAGTTTTCCAGTCGATAAAATCACTCGTTTCACGCGGACGGAAATGGTTTCTCTACATGCCTCGGAAAAAATTAATACAGTATGGTTATCCGAAATGTGAAATTAATCCAGTTACATTAACAATCAATATCACAAAGATGAAGAATTGATGAAAAGCCTCTGAGAAGAATTTCCGAATATAAATGGTTTCTCAGATGGTTCGGAAAAATATTGCTGTCATTCACGAGTGAAATTAGTCAAACAAGCAATTCAACGACGAGGAATTGATGAAAATCCTCTTTAAAAATGTTTCCGAATGCTTTCTCACGCCATTTCGTTTTTTCCTCGTAAGTTTTCTAAACCTGACTCAGGGTCTCCTGTCCTCAAAGTTCGCTGATGTTCCATGAACCATTTATAATCAACACCAAGAACAAGATGTTCGATGCGAATCCATGTACTAACCGTTGATTTCGTCAACAATTCGATTTTCTTAATCAAGTGAAGATGCGAAGAAAAAAGTCTCGTGAAAAACGTTAATTTGCATCATAATTTTTGATGATGAAATCTGACCCTCAAGGCTGAGATTAGCAGAGGGTCAACCCATGTGTCAGCAAGTACAGCGAACCTTCGCAACGCCTCGAAGTCGGCCAAGCGTGACGCCGTGATTTCGTCAATGTTTATAGCCTCAGGGCGGGAACATGTTTCGGGTTCCAGGGCTCGAAAAATGCAACAGGTCTCTCTCAAAATGGAATTCACAGCCTGGAATGAAAATAAGATGATCATAGGAAAAAATCAACGACAAATCCATCAAATCACGTATAGTTTCCTCAAATTAATTCAGCACGCAGTGAACTGCGTTTTCCATGCATCAGAAGCTGAACCGGACAGTTTCTCCAAACGGAAGCGTTCCTTGAGAATGTTTTTTTGAAGAAAAGTACAGCCATGAGCTGCAGAATCCTAATCATGCGAAAATATCCGCCATTCTTGACTATGTTCGGCTTTAGCTTCCAGGATGATGAGCCACAAAAAAAAAAGTGGCTGGTAATTTCATCACCCTTCAAAACAATGCTCAGTATGCTGTACACTGTGTACAGTATCAAACTCTGCGATTCCACTTTCCAGAAATAGATGTCGCTCAAATCCCTCGGGCTTCAGACAACTTACAGTGGGAATTTTTTAATTATAGCTGAATTCGTGTTGACTTCACTTCTGAATTCAAATTTTCGTATTCTTATTTTTGAAATACAGTACTGTATTTCCATCTAGGTCCCGTAAAAAGGAGTGCACAGTCGTACTTCGGGGGGGGGGGGGGACCAGTTTCTAAAAATTTCACCAACATTGATTGAAATTATAATAAAAAAAACCTGGTGTGTTTCTTCCACGAGGGCACGTAGTACTTGAGTAAATAATGGGTAGTACAATATAACATTTGCTTTAGAAAAAACCCGATCTATTCCAACACACATTTTACGAATTATTTCAAGATTCGGTTTAAGGGAACTATGGAAAATGTCGTCCATTATTCCAGGAGAAAATCGAACATTTAAATGCAGAGCGTCAGCAGTCTTCAAATATAGTTTTCATTCGCACTTTCGAAAAAAAAGATTTCACACAGGTGTGCAAAAATTAAAACAAGGATATATTCTGTATATGAATACGAATAATTGCATCAAGTTGAATACTGTACTGCACTACCGTTCGTGTAATTTCAAAAACTATCCAGATTGACAAGCTGACTTTTGGCTCAAAACCCCAGCCCTCATGATTTTCAATCTCTGCAGAAATATAAAATAGTCCTGCTACTATACAATATGGATAAATTGTTGAGTCGTTAATTAAATTTAGATGCGGGTGCGTTAAGACTTTTAGCTATCTGGATTAGAACTTATAAATTTGGATACACCTCTGAAAATAGCGCCATAAAAAAATCATGTCCTAAAAAAATATTTTACGATTTCAGGGTGCCAGGAAAGGTCACACTTATCAACGGATGTTTCTCAGCAATTAAAACATTTTAGCAAACCACACCACATTGAAACCACTCCAAATGCAACTGGAAGGCTGACAGCGAGACTCCAGAGCAGCAAACCGCAGTAACGAGTTTCTTCCTTGTATGATGCTAGCAATCCGTGTCGCAGCATCCACCACATTCCTTCGGTTTCGCGTCTTCAGCGAAGGACATTCGATCGATATCTTCAGCTTCCTGTCCGTGTATTTTCTGCTCATGCTTCCATCACACCCTGGAAAATTCAACCGTCAGGTAAGAGTACAGTATAAGAAATAAAAATCACACATAGATTGGAATCTAGGAAGAATGAGGGGCTTTTCAAAAATACTGCAAGTCACGGAGGAATTTTTTGTTGACTGATGAAACCCGATGGTAAATTATTATTTCCTTTTTTTCATTGAAGAAAATGCAATCATCAAAAACTCTTGAGAAAAAGCGAAAGAATCTATGAGGGACCAAAATGTCGACCCACGAGGGGCATGAAGACGAACGCGAGCAAAAAATGATGAAATAAAAAAGTTTACTTCAGTTTTTTCGATGATCATCCTTCAATCCGGGATGGTACTAGCAATTTCCAACCAACAAAATTGCAAAGACATATGAAAAGTCGTGCCTAAAACGCTTCTTTCCTCGAAAGTTTCTCTAATTTCAGGGCATTTCAGCACTGAAAATCCCCATGAACTTGAAAGACGAGCGCATGTGCTTTTCTTTTCGTATGGAATCTTCCGAAAAAGCAAGGAAAACTGTATTTGAAAATTCACAGTCAAAGCTCTTCAAGATGGACATCAAAGAATTAGCAAGAAATTCGAGTTACGAGGTTTCGAGTTAGGGAAACAAACACTTTTGTTGGGGAAAAGAAAGAATTACAAGAATTTGTAATTGGTGATATTCTGGGCCAGATATTGAGTTGACAGGATGCTGAACTTGGAGGCAAGAATTTATTTGCCCGAACAGTCTTTCATTTCTTTTCAGAACACATCAAGTTACATTTTTGTTGCTTTCCCTTTCCTGTGTCAATAAAGTTATGGCCAAAAGGCCTATACAAAATTCGAGTTATGAAGGCATGAAGAGGAAAGCGTTTGAGTTAGGGACCTGAAAGATTTGGAATTGCGAGGTTCGGGTTATTTAGGTTCAACTGCATTTTTTCACATATTCTTCTGATAAACTTCAGACACTTTCTCCGTGCCGTAATCAATTCCAAATTGCTGACATGCTACTTTTCATCCAACTGCACTAAAAATTTCCATGAACATCAATTATCAACGCCTCACAAATGACCCGCACACGTCAATCGAGCAAGATAATTATTACGAAATCTTCACGATGACAGGAAAAACCTGCCTCTACGAACTTGTACTCATAAAACTCAGATAACGATACTTTCGATTCTCTTAAACCAGCGGTAATAAATGTTTATCTCTCCAAACCTTGTCCAAAGTGGCAATTCGAAATCTTGAACGAAAGTCGCCGGTACCAGTCTCCGAATGCGATGCTCAAATCCTTCATTCCGTACATTGATTTCGTCATAGGGACGATATCTGCAGACGGAGAAAAGCCCTCAGGGTCCCAGTTTTGATCATGGACGCTTCTTCTACCCAGAGACTTGAAATCGGAAAATCCTGCGTCGGCGATGCCCCTCATTCCACATTTCTTGCGAAGGTTTCGGAAAACTTTACCGATTCTGAGGGCGTAAACACATCAATGTCAATTGAATCCTTCAATGATGATGCATTAAAAGGAAAACGTTATTGGAAAAACACTACCGAAGACTGACTTTTCGAGGAATTCTTCGAACACACCATACGAGGGTTCTAACAAAAGTTCTCGGAGTAGCAATGAAAATGGCCTACAGTTGAGCTGAACCAAATGTGTTCTTTAGGGAAAACACATTCTTTGGCACATAAAAAAATATCAGCCCTGTTTGACAAATTTCCATGAATTTTTTTCATAATTCACCCTGGCAGAGTTTCACTCTCCATTCAAAAGACGAGGCGCCCCTTTCTTGTTGTAGCCCAGCTTTCCCCTCATCATTTTTAAAATCAGCTTGGCATTCTTTCCAAGGGTTGCCTCCTGGTCATCCAAGGCAACCCTTAGAAAGACTGCCAAGCTGATTTTAAAAATTCTGAAGGGAAAGCTGGGCAACATCAAAAAAGTGCTTCTCATCTTTTGAGTGGAGAGCAAACTCTGCCAGGGTGAATTATGAAAAAAATTCAAAAAATTTGTCAAACAGTGCTGATATTTTCTTGTGTGTCAAAGAATATGTTTTCCCTAAAGAACAAATTTGTTTCAGGTCAACTGTAGGCCATTTTTCCTTGCTACTCCGAAAACTTTTCTTAGAACCCTCGTATCCCTCAGAAAAAGAAAAAAAATTCATGAGGAACCTTTCGGGGTGAATTTCTTTCGCATCTTCCGTCGTCGAAAACACCAAGGATTTGCTTCTCTTTTCAGCCTCGTCCACGTCATCACGAAGCACGGAATGTTCTTTGGCCCACAGCGTTTGCACACTCCACGATTCTTTCCGAACTCGAAGAGCACAGTCCGTTTTCCGCTTCGCGAGAATCGCCTCAGACGGAGTTCCACTCGTGGTTTGAATAGGGGAGAAACTGAAGCCATCCAAATTTGACAACTTCATCCTTGGGTTCGAGACGTTATTGGATTCTGCGGCATATTTCCGATTTGCTTGGTAACCGAGTTTTCCCGTGAATTGCAGTTTTGGATTCGCAGACCGAGGGTCCAGATATTTGCAGTAGAGATCGTGATGACTCGTCATTCTTTCCGCAACTTCTTTGAGCGTCTGAGTTTGAAAAATTGCGCTTTAAAATGGATCTAAAAATTGATGTAGAAAAAAAGAAAACATCTACGGAATGCGTTCATATTCAGAGATCCAATTTCCCGTAGTGTTCTCGAGGGTTTCATTCGACCAAGGAAAGAAGCGTGCGAGTCTCCGACTTCTCGCTGAAAAAGGATTTCGCTTCAATTTCAGGTGAGAAGAAGACTTTTCATCACGTCAAATTTCATTTCTCGTTCAGATCATCAGCTCCAAATTGTAGTACACTACAGGTACAGTAGGACTTTCTTTAACTCGAACCTCCCAAACCCAAAAAGCCCCCCAACTCAAATTTTTTCTAGCCCATGGTTCAAAGTCGCGTTCCAACAATGTAACATGAACCTACTCAACTCGATTTGATTTTTTTTCATTACTAGTGATGAGAGAAAATTCAAAAGGTAAGGTTTACGGAGAGGAAAATGGTTTTTAAAATCCTGGCTTGAGGTTCTAGATCCTGTAGACTCATTCATGCTGCAAGTTCCTGTGATCAGCCTTTTTCTAAGCAGCGAGACCAATTTTTTAAAATGCTTTGGGACACACTCAGCACAGTTGCAGCAAGATGTTCGTCCCAGTTACTTCTTTTAAAATTAACAGAAAGCAATTCCAGGCCTAGTTTCCTTAACCTCCGCATAACTTGAAACCTGCCACATATACATTTTTTTATTCGTTTAAATTATAATTAGAGAGGTCTGACTGGCATTTTAGATTGCACTGGATGATGTTCGCGCGCAATATTTCAACTAGACAAAATAAAAATTCAGCCCAACAATACTGTATTGGTACAGGCGAACTCTCTACAATTAAAATCTCGTCTACAACGATTTTCTGTGTAAAACAAATCCTCGTCCTGGTCCGATAGGGGTTCTCTGCAACAAATTCTTTTCTGGTCTCTTGAATTTCGTTGAAAAGAAAGTTTACCTGCCTGTTACTACAAGCGTACAGGTATAAAAGTCGAGTACAATGACATTTATTGAAGACCCAATTCGTAGAGTAGTGACTAGCTGATGCAAAGATCAGCTAAATCATATTCTGAGTTTCGAAACTCGTGTCAGAATACCGTTCTCCGAATTTACTGAAACTTTCAACACACCTTCCAACTCGTACCCAAGGAAAATTCGTCAATATACGGCTTGTCCCGAATCCCATGAACAAAGAAGTTTTTAAATTACTCGTAGAGCAGTTATTTAAATAAAAATTGTATAAATGATCGAATCATGAGAAACATTTTCCGTATTATATTCCCGTCTCCCACTTTCTTCATATTATCGTATGTGGTGACTACAAGTATTTTCGCTGTTTTCTGTACCACAGGTGAACTCTTCGGAAAACATGCGTCAATTCACGACTACTTCCGGACGAGATCTTCTCAACAGCTTTTCGAACAGGAAAATCGCTCAGTAAGACAGAAAACACCCGTCAATACAATATAAATTACTAGACAGTTTCTCCGATTTAAAAAAAATGTTGACTTCTCCAGGGATGGTTATTTGTCAAGCAGACGGGAAAGAATCCGATAAAGCGTGTTATACGAAGCAAACTCGATGGAAGCAAGTGTATGTCATGCAAAAAAAAATCTGCTGACGGTCGTATACCACTGTGAAGTTTTGAAAAATGGGACTGCTTTCAGGAATTTGACACACACGTCATAACAGTTGTCACTTCTCGAAGCATTTGGTATTTATAAGATCTTATCACCACATCGACAATTTTAGGACACTCACGAACTTTCCACATTTCTCGTCATCGGCATCATTCGTCGAATCGGTCTCTGTAATTAATTGCGACGAGTCAGCATGCGTTTGCCTCGGGTATATCTTAATCTATATCACATACACACACACACAAACAAAAACAGAACCAATCTGACACAAATTCACAGCCACTGAATTAAAATTCAGAAAACTCACCTGAGTGATAGGATCAATTTTCACGCGTCTTGATTTTTCCGGACGAATCGTTTCCCAGGGTCTTGCGTCACAAGCAACCGATTCCTTCCTGAGCGCTCCCATTTACAAAAAAAAAAACTCAAGAAAAATATGAAGCAATACGGAGTAATTTCAAAGAGGAAAGAAAAGAAAGAAACCTGCAGGGACATTCATAAAAGCGGCTAGATTCTTTCTCTTCAAGAAAAAAAAATTAATCCTTCTTCACACCCAAACCCAACGCGTCAACAGAACAGGGATAATCGCACGGCTATGAATCACATATGCGTCCGAAACATTTCTATCCACCACAGCAAAACAGTTCCAGGCAAAAAAAAAAAAAAAAGAAAAAAAATACCTTCAACCTAATCAACCGATGTTTATGGAAAAATAAAATCTTTCACAGACCGTAACATACGTTCTGCTTACTGCGGAGAGAAATGCTTCATCGCACACTTGGTAAATTTGACCATAACCTCTCGCATACTGGATAAAATAATTTAAAGGCATTGAAACCTACACGATTCACACAGGTCGACAATAAAAATAAAACTTCCGACGCGTTCCACTGAAGATGGGGGACGTGCGTGAGGCAGAAGATTCCCATTCACTTAAGGCAAATATCAAGGAATCAAAAGACGCACAGTTCAGGGAAACGGACGCGTATTCCAATCAAAACTTTTTGCAAAGGATCCAAGATAGCGCTTCAAAAATGCAGTTCACGCGACGCTGTCCAAAGGTTCAAAAACACAAACAGCGACAAAAGGCAGCACAGATTAAAATTTTTCCACGGGTCCCAATTCAAAAATTGATCCGACAGAGGGAAGACAAAAAACGAAATCCCATGGCGACGGGAATGTTTAATACCGGAGGTGGTGAAGAAACGGAAAAAAGATGATCATGACCCGAACACAAAACGCGCCGGGGAAGAAAAGAAATCTCGCCGCGATTCAAAACAAGCGCAACTTCCGAAATCATGAGACGGATCACCAGTTTTTCTTGTGCTCATCCATCGAAACTCCTCCGGGTCCAAGGTTTACGATCATGAGCAATCCTCCAATTACAGAAAGCACTTGGAAAAAATCGTACTTGACGAAATCCCTGGCAGGTTTGTACGCGGGTATGTTCCACCAAGCATTGAAATATAGGTTCAAGACAGAAAGCCACGCAACGAGCACCAGAGCTGATAATTTGGTCTTGAAGCCGATCATGACGAGGACCATCAGCAAGGATCCGATCACATTCACGAGCATTTGCAGCACGGAGAACTCCAGTCGCAGAAGAGTGGCAAACATAAAAATGATGAGTACGCGGCCGGTTAGCTGCAAGTACGTCTTCGGCTTGTTGTCACCCATGGATGGAACACCTAAGAAAGAGCAGGAAAATCTCAAATTCGACGCAACGGAAAGCATTATTTCTAACTGTAAGGTACTGCATTCGGAAAAATCGAGGCGAGCATTCATTCCTAAGGGAAACCGTCAATATCCCCGGGACACGAAAGCCCAGGACACGGAATCCCCGCGCGACGATAGCACTGACACGAAATCCCCGCCATAGCTGTAACGAAAGCCCCAAACCGCACGCGCACGCCGAATAATAGTAAAATTAAATTATAAAAAACCACGAAATGAGATAACAAAACTACAAGCCCTCAAAGGGAAGAAAAACCACTTCTCAAGGAGAACCATGTAGCTCCAAAGAACAATGCACAACCAAAATGAATTTCTGCTGCTCCCAAAGTTTTCCGAATTTACCAAAGAACAAACACATTTGCGTCGAACTTTGAACTGTGAAGGGAGACCCCCAACATTTCCGCCACAGAAGTGTAACATTCATCAGGCTGTGCTCAATGATCTTGGCGCGACAAACAATTTCAGTGAAGCCTGGAATTGTTATTTCAATGGCCTGGTTGGAAAGAAAAATCCCACCATTTGGTTACTAATTTGCTGCCTGAAACAAGATGCTGCATTAGTTGCTACAACGCTGAAGAAATTTGACAAAGATGGTGTCATTCCACATAAGCAAGTGTCGACTGTTGAGAGATATCGCCAGAAAGAACTGCGTCAATTGTGCAAAGATTATCAAAGCCGACTTATTGAATGTTTGGATTTCTTTGAAAATATTTCAAAGACTATTAATTTTCTGTAAATGAACACTTTTCTACCAATGACTACCGAATATTTCTTCGAAAATATATTCCTTGGAAAATATTTCAAGACTTAATTTTTTGTAAATGAACACTTTTCTACCAACGACTTCCGAAGACTATCAGTATTAAAAAAAATTTGGGGCTTTCGTCACATGGAAGGACTGATAAGAGACATTTGTGGCGGGGATTTCGTGTCAGTGCTATCGTCGCACGGGGATTCCGTGTCCCGGGGACCCCGTTATAAACCCCATTCGTAATCCGAAAAATGTATTAAGACACGATTTCAGGGTTTGCTTCGTATTTATCCATTCACGGAAGAAAAAAATCACCACTACTCCATCGCCTGAAGAAATTGGATCAAGTATCTTTGTCATTCAGTCCAGGCACATATACAGTCGAGCCTCTTCAAGTCGAATTTCAAGGGATCAGAAAAATAATACCATGGAGTTTTCGAGTTTGGGAAAAAAGGATTTCTTGGGTGAGAAAAGACAGAGGAATCACAGGGAATGGTAATTAGTAAGTTTCTGGGCCTGGAAGTTCTTCCTACATGAGTTGAGAGGGCGCTAAACTTGGAAGGAAGGGTTCATTTGCCCAATGAGTCTTTCACTTTCTTTCAAAACGCATCGTTACTTTTTCTATTCCTCTTCTCGTTGCCATGTCAAATAAGAATACGTGATGTATACAAAAGGCCTCCAGAAAGTTTCAGTTATGGAGGTTTGAGAGAAAAAAACCTTCCAATCCGGGCGGTTTTTGATCCATCGTTTCAAAGGTATTTCAGAGAAGGACTTGATTCTACATAGAGAGGCTTGAGTTATTAAGGGATTCAACTTCACAGTATTGCACCAAATACATTTTAAATTCGATCTTTACTCAATACTGTACTAGCGAAACTCAGGACAATGGATCCTCGAACAAGTCATGACATTCGATTGATATCCAGTCTGAGGCTGCTATCATCCTTTGAAATCTGCTTGAGAGAGTACTCCGACGTTCTGGGCAACACGGTCATGTCATTTCGCGAATTCAACCCTCATAAGAAAGCCGTAAGCATTATTTAGAATCGGAGAGGACTTTTTTTTTGCATATTTGAGGTTGTCAAAAGATAACAACTAACACCATGAAGTCACAACGAAACATTTAGGAAAACTGATTACCGTAACCTTTTTTAGTATGAAACATCTCTCTCGGTGTTAACTTCAGCGTAAACGGTAAGGAATACCATCGTTCAAGGATAAGTTGAATATTTTGGTCCACCATGTACATTTCCGTAGGTAGCTCCGCAGGCTTCGGGTGGCCAAATACTGCTAAATTTACCCCAGAATTTTTTTACTGTGCTGTCCAGACCAAGACTTGAACTAAAACACACACCAGATTCAACACGCGGATAGATAATTATCTATCGCAAAACTTCGAAGGGGATCAAAAAGCACTAATAATCATCGAAAAGCACTGATGAACACGTATTCAAAATCTGAATATTTTGGAAGTAAACATTCACGATATTCAGAAATTGCCTCAGCTGGAGTTTCGTGACTCCCCACATCAATAGTTGACGACCGATCCTGATAAAGAGCAGTGAGCTTACGAAACATTCCGATTCTATACTGACCAGCGAATAAGGATCGTCCTTCTGACCGACTTTCAGCCAGCACAAGCAGCAGTGCTCCAAGAAGTGCCAGATTGCGGAACAAAAACGTCACATCCCAAAGTATGCTGTAAGCTACGGTCTGTGATGCGAATTAGAAAAATTACGTCAAGTACCAACACTTCTGCGAATATAAATTGAACATTGATAGTAACCTGGAGAATGACAATACCGAAGAGCATGAAGCACGCGTAATTCACTTTCAAACGGAACAGCACCATAAAAACGCCAGAGAGTTGTCCAAGCAGATTGAGTAGGACGAATAACGACGCTAGAAAATAACCGCATCCCCATGTCATATCCATGTAATCTCTCTGCTCAGACCACTGCGTGTACATTCGTACTCCGTCCTCGAAAAAGGTGGAGACAAGACAAAACCTCGCAACGTGGGGAAGAACATGCTTCGTACGTCTGAAAACCTGCGAAAAAATATCCATTCAAAAACCACATTTGAGCCAGTCATGTGGAAAAAACTTGCCTGGTCTGCGACATCTTCAGCAGAGGATATGTATTTGTGCATGATGACCGTGCTTCCCGCTGTCACAATTCACCTAATCCAATAAAATCGCAGACGGGTACCATTTCGTCGTCGACGATAAAATAAAAACAAAATGCATAAGTAAAGAGCTAAGTAAAAGATCAAGGGATCAACATCACACAACAGATAACTAAATTAGGATGAGTAAATTGAAAGGTTGCACTACATCTGTGCATCTTCGTCACACGAAGCAATCGCACTAGATAAATCAATCGCTGTTCAAGCTCCATTATTCACCAGTGCAGTGCATCACAGTACAGTACCTGCACAACATACAAAACTGTCTCGTCTAATAATATTCAAGGACAATTACCTTCTCGTCTAAAACGATGTCAGATCAATTCGACGACCGCATTCGTGCACGTAAACGTGTTGCAATCGGCACCAGGTTGCCCTTATGGAACACGAGAGGCAGAGGCGAACAGAATGTCAAAGAACTCTGATGCGAACCCACACTACAAAGTCTGACAGAAGCTCTTTCACTGGAAAGCAATTGGAATGTCTTGAAATCACTTTATTGCCCAAAATACTTTGTGAAATCGTTTCTGGAGATGATAATTATTTAGATCACTCTTCACGGTGTTTATTCTCCAATAAACATCTCATCCGATTTACACCGAAAGTGCATCCATCTAAGTGATGGAGTTCTTCACTTCGGTAACGAACATGGCGTTTGTCTCACAAGCTGGCGACTTGGAGGAGGAAGTTGGAGAGGTTGTGTTCGGATTGCGAGAATTGCTTGATACAGTGACTAAAAGATACTGAGCGTATTTCTTGGATGAAGATTGAATGAGTGATCTTCGAATCGATTTTCTGAGTGCCGCATTCGTTAGATAATCTGTATCTCCTTTTGAGTGATGTGTGCTGTGAAAATGGCTCTTCGTTGCTCCAGCATTTCGGGATGGAATCGCATTTATGAGTTGATATTTCAATCGCGTTTGTTCACATTTTGAAAATTACAGGTTTAGTCTGTGAAAACACCTTTTGTACTACGACTACCGAGATGGTTGAGGAAAAGAAAGAAAAGAAGCCGAAGAAGCAGCCGGCGCCAAAGCCAGCTCCGGCTCCCGTGAAAGATGTTGCCGCGAAACCGGCCAAGAAAGAGAAGCCAGCGAAGGCGAAGGGTTACCCAGTGCGGAAACCCAAGCGAATGCTTCCTGCCGGACGGTAAATTTATGACTAATACTTGTAACTATCGAATTGTCCTCTTATCGGGTGGTGTATTTCCATAGGCTCTACGCTAAAGCCATCTTTGTAGGATTCAAGCGTGGTTTGAGGAACCAGCATGAGAACACTGCGCTTCTTAAAGTGGAAGGTTGTCGTGCGCTTGAAGATGCAAGATACTACGTCGGAAAGAGGGCTGCGTTCGTGTACAAGGTACAAGATGTCCCGAATGATCGTTTTGAACGTGTGCGCTTCGCGCTTGTCTAGCGGCCCTGTCCCACCTTTTAATAGGATTAGGCACCTGTGAATGTGAAATTCTTACAAATTTTGGCTTCATGTTGTAGGCGAAGAAGCAGAAGAAGGCCCTCAAGGGAAAGCCCGGCTTGAAGTCCAAGATGCGCGTCATTTGGGGCAAAGTGACGAGGACACACGGGAACGCTGGTGGTCTCCGTGCCAAGTTCAAGCGGAACCTTCCTCCCGCCGCGATGGGCCGACGAATCCGAATCATGATGTATCCATCCAACATCTGAAGTTCTTTCGTTCGTTGTTCCTCGCACCGTGTCCCGGACTTTCCTACGGATCTTTGAATTGAATATTTCGGCAGGAAAGTAAAGGGGAAACCCGGAGTGAACAAAGGTTTCGAACTTCATTCCTGCCTTGATGTAAATCTAGGTACGGTAGTGCGTACGGAGCAACTAGGTTTTCAGGTGGAGCATAGAAGCGTCTTCGTAGTCTTTCAGACTTTTACTGAAAGATACGTGCAGTTTGTTAGACTGTTACGCGATGAAGATCCAATTGTTTCATGCAGCTACGAAACCACCGTAAATTCTCGGCAACTTTTCAATATCCTCAATGTATGAATGTTACTATGGTTGAGTTCGTTCGGATAGGTTCGGTTCTTTCTATTAATTTTTGTTCGGATCATTTGATCATGACTTGTTCTGAATTCTGATGTTCATGCATCAAATCCGACTGTCAATGTTGAGTGATTCTGCCTTGGACTCGTTCAGGGTTGTCAGATTAATTTCGGTATTCCATTTGCGCGTTAGAATGAGGGGCTTGTTCGATAGATATAATGTTGCGTTAAACCCTTGCTGCAATAGAGACGTAGTACTCTTGATTATTCAAGCTTAAAATACTGTACTGTAGTTAAATTCAACATCCGGTTCATTGAAATTTTACGAAGACGCCTTTGCGCGCCGAATTCAACTTTGTGTACTTCATAGCACGAAATAGCAATTATTTGGGCTGATGCGCAAAGAATTCCGGAACTGTTCATATTTTCTTGGGTCCGTGATATTCGATTTTCAGGATAAATTCTGCCGATCATCGGCCTAGTTAATCAGTAATCAGCCTGTAATCGGTTACTAATTGATTAATAATGACATGATCGACAGAAGGTGTTGTATATTAGAAGTTTCTCTCATGCATTGCTAAGGAGTATTTTTGAAACTCCTTGTTGTAGTGTTAGGTGTTGACTGATGAGTGTCAGTCAAGCTCGACGTTCTTGTGTTCAATTCCATCGCTGCGTTTTGGAGGCGAGGTTATTCGGAACATGACCGTCAGGATCATCTTTGTTTTAGTTCGCTTTTTTGAAATCATCTGGTGAATCACTTCAACACGCTGACTGGAACCGTGTAAAAGCCTGTTAAGCCAGGGAACTTTCTTCTTGCATATTTTGAATCGTCCGATGAGAGAACCTTTTCAAACCTGATCACAAAGATGAATTACGGACTGTTGGTCAAATCAATTACTGATTGATCTGCCTCTGCCTTCAGAATAGGTGTACAATTGAACTGTGATGACTTGAATCGAATGCCTCGCTATGTCAAATTTTTTCACGTACCTGTGTAAATTCCCTTGGAAAGAATGCATCAAGAGTCTCCCTAAGTGGAAATTTTTTTTGTCACTTTCGATTCAACTTCAGGGGTTCCACTTCGTGATGTCCAAAATAATTCATGTCAAATTTTGTGTGTCTTATCTTGTACTGTATCTTCAAAAATTCGTAAGCTTAAAATTTAGATCATGGATCAGTGTCAAGATGTCTTTTCGTGTTTAGGGACGTACAGAGCATATTTTTTTCTATCCAGTCGTTCCCAGCTTTGTGCGAAATGTAGTAAAATGCATCATAAAAACGAATGACTGTCAAGGATCATTTATGATTCTCATCTCTCGAAAACCAGCTCTTTTTTAGTTATTGAAGTAAGCAGGATCCAAATTAAGCGTCCGTCATATTCAATTGCAGCTTGGGATGCAATCCCGCCATTCGTCTTACCAGAGAGGTTGAATTTTTCCTGTCTTCTAATGATAGCAGGATTCTCATCTTGAATTTGCCTGCAAATTTTCTGTGGAAGATTGAGATAGAATTGAAAGACCTTGTGGCAACTCATCCAAAACCCTTAGTACTGTAGTCAAGTGCCATGATTAGCAGAAAATGTGCTATACACTCATTCAGTACTGTATTTTATATGATAACACCAAACATAAGATTGAATACTCTATTTACTCAAGTACCACATGCCCCATTTTCCTGAGGAAATGAGCTCTGTGAGGGATTTGTAATACAGTTCTTGGATCTACTTTTTTTCTGGACAATTGTTTTACACGTGCATCTTACTTCAAACACATCAAATGAAGCTCAGAAAGCCATTTTTGTGAATAAAATGAGCAAATATGTTCAGGTTCAAATTCACCTGGAAGATGATAAGGCCAAAAAGTGCAGAAAAATGTAAGCCTCTAAATTTCAGCATTTTTTTCTGAAAAATATATTTTTTCACAGGTAACCACTGGGAAAAGCATATTAAAAAGAAATACACAGTTCAACATGGATAACTCAAACCTCCCCAAGTCAAATTTTTTCAAGTTCCCATCTGAATTCCCTTAGAAACAATGCATTAAAAATCTGCCCAACTCCAAGACTTTTCCTCCCAAACCTCCAAGTCAAATTGTTGAGGCCTTTTGGCTATTATTTACTTGATGCAGCAAAAATAGGTGAATAATGAAAGTGATGCAATGTACTGTATTAAGTTTTGATATCATGTTGAAGGGAAAGTCTTCTCTTCAACATCTTACTGTTCATTAGCATGTTAATCAGAAAATACTGTATTCACTGCAGTATCAGGTGCACCTTCCTTCAAATTTGGGAGGAGAAAAGGAGCTGCACTTCATAAGTGAATAAACATTTTTCAGACATTTTTTGAAGTTTACAAATGCATCAAAGGAAATTTAGATCAATTTTATCTGCAAAAATCCCATCTTGAAGGAAACAATTGAAAATTATAATTGAATTCATGTATAAATTCAAATTTGGATGCTCTCATTTCCAAAATACTGTGGTGTGTGCTGTTTTGGAGTCCCAATACAATATAGAAAGGGGGAGCGTGTCTTACTTGCTGGGGATACAATTTTATCAACATTTCAGACTGAAAACTTGAGTGAACCTCTTATACTTGAGGGCGCGTGGTACTGGATTAAATAGGGAATGTTGATTTGCCCTTGGTTTCCTATTGCAGTTAATTTGGAGGTGTACCCGTATTTACTGTATATACAGTACTGTAATTTAAGACTTGATCTCACGGCTCCATGGGTCTCACTTTCTAATTTTCCAGCGTTGCATTCGAAATCCGCGCATTTGACCTGAATGGAATGCAGCTGCTGCTGGTTAAAAATAAGATCTTATAATATATGGATGAATACTATGTAGTCCGTGTTTGCAGAATCATATGAATCACATCACTCATTTTGACCACAGCACTGCTGATATTGAATGCTTCAACTGCCTTGCGTGGATTCAAATCATATAGGGATGAAACATCAACGTGCTGAAACCGGCTCCATCATCAACGAATCTGATGATGGATCTCATGCATGATGTATATACTGTACATATAGGGTTGGCCAGAATATACTTGACGATTTTGAACAAAATTTGTGGTTTAAATCCGGGGATTTTCAGCTGAATTGAGGGTTCAATTTATATGCTTCTCAAATTATGTTTCAATATCATTTTCTGTATTTTTGTTTACTTGCAAATTTCAGAAACTGGTATGTATCTCATCAATTAAAACTACTGTGTGTTAGAAAAATGAATTTTTATAAGGTTCAATATAAATTTGAGCCTTATTGATATTTGAATGTTTAATGTCAAATCTTTTTGTGCAGTATGCTAATTGAGATCCATACAGTAAGATTATGGCTTTTCCTTGTTTCATAGTTGAACCTCTATTTAAGTCAAATTTCAAGGGACCACAAAAAATTTGACTTGGTGGGTTTCAACTTGAGGAGGTTTTGAATATTTGAGGTTTGCGTAACAGAACCATGCATTTTTGTTATAGAAAGCATAGAAGAATTGCACTAAATTGTAAATGGTGATATTCTGGGCATTAAATGGTGCATCTGAAGTGAGTTGGCAGGATGCTGAACTTGGAGGCAAGGACTAAATTTGCCCAATTTAGACTTTTGTGCCCTTATTATTATGGAACACATGAAATTATGTTTTTTATTGCCTCTTTCTTTTCAGTGTCAAGAAAAAATAACCAAAAGATTGCCAAAAAATTCAAGTGAGGGTGATTTGATATCAAAAAACTTTGAGTTAGGGATGCATTGTTCCTGGGGGAATTCAAGCAAGGACTTGGAAAAAAATTTAGTAGATTAAAAATTAATCTAAAAAACCACGTTTTCAAAAAGCAAAAAATAACCTTAAATGTGGTGTGCATCTATTTCATTTGTATTTCACTTCTTCCCAACAATCTCCATGCGCACCACGTTTAAGGTTATTTTTTGCTTTTTGAAAACGTGGTTTTTTAGATTAATTTTTTAATCTACTATAATTATTTTATTCTTTTTAAAAAATATTCTTATAATTTTTCTTTTCACAAAAGATTGCATTGTCATCAGTTTCTAAGCTATCCTGAAAGTTTCAGCTTGCTAGCTAGTCGGGAAGTGAGCAAAATTTGAGTTGCAAAATTTGATCCGGACAAACAAACAGACAAGAAAGCGAGTTAATAAAACGTGTTAATTAATAAAAAAACGTGTTAATTAATTAGAAAAAAAAATATTCCAGGGGGTGGGATTGAACTTGGACCTCTGCAACCAATTCAGTTCACCATGGGTTTTTTTCTTGGGGCCAAGGAAAACCTGCTCAAAGTTTTATTATAGAAATCTACTTTAATTATTTTATTCTTTTTAAAAAATATTCCTAAAATTAATTTTTTCACAAAAGATTGCATTGTCATCAGTTTCTAAGCTATCCTGAAAGTTTCAGCTTGCTAGCTAGTTGGGAAGTGAGTGAAATTTGAGTTTCAAAATTTGATCCGGACAAACAGACAGACAAGAAAGTGAGTTCATAAAAACGTGGTAATAAAATGTGACTTAGGAAGGTTTGAAGTTATCAAGCTTCAATTGTATAATCACTCTTTTAACAAATCACTCATGAAAACCAAAGAAGAAAACTGACTCTCCTGCATCAATTTCAAAATGAATAAATGTCATCTTGAAAAATTGAGAGGTTTTTAAGTTTTGATGCTATAAT